AATGTAACTTCAAAAAGCCAACAAGTTCAATCCCCACACCATGCAAAGCGAAGCCCGGTATTTAAGTGGAGAAGGGTAGAGGGGCGGGCCCATTATCCACCGAGTTTAGAAGGCTGTGATTGGTCCAAAGGGCGGGTCACATATGGATTTCGCGGTTATTAAAAAAAAAAAAAAACAATGTAGAGCTTAATTTTTGCTCAAATAAACAAATGTCCTAAATCACAAAAGAATAAAAACAAGAACAATGTAGCATGAGCAGCAGTTCACTCTCCAGCAGGAAATCCAAACTCTATATGAATATAATTCCATCAAATAGTATATCTGAATGTCTGATGAATGCTACTCCATTTAGTGACAAACTTCTATAAACAAACTTGAGCTTAAACAACCGGTGTGGTTTTTTGTAAACTTTTGTTCTCATAAATATATCAACTATTTCATATTTTGCAACCACAAAAGAAACTACCATGAAACAACTAACTAAATCTTACGACGTTTTTGAAAGTTTTCACCTTTTCTTTTTTCATCTTATTTCCTTTTTTAGTTACTTGATTCACTTCATATACAAATTCCTTAAACATGATATATAGTTTTCATCATTTTGCTTTTTCTTTCACTCACCTATTTCATGCTCATGTTCAAAAGATGAAGGTAGCAGAGATGAGGATGCTCAAATGGATGGGTAGGCATACTACAAGGGATATGAATAGGAACGAAGACCTCCGTAGAGGACAAGGTAAGGAAGCTAGGTTGAGATGGTTCGGGCATGAGCAAAGAAGATGTGTGGATGCACCAATAAAGAGGCGTGGAAGGTTTACCATAAATAGGTGTTAGGACTTGGGAGAGGTTGAAGAATTGGAGGAGCTGATTCGAAAGGGCATGACTCACCTCTAATTGAATGAGGACATGGCCCTAGATAGGAAAGTTTGGTGGTCGAGGATTAGGATAGAAGATTAGTAGGTAGACGAGTGTTGTAGAATCTTTAAGGGGAAGGTCAAAAGGCTAGTCTTCTTTGCTACTTTCCTCTCTATTAGTAGTATTACTATTTAGTACATGAGCAAGTGTTTCCTTACTTTGTTTTATTGTTACCTATCACTTTATTGGTTGTGTCTATCTTGCCTCTTTGGCCTTTGCTACCATTATTTTTTCTAACTACTCTAGTACTGCTATTTTATCGTCATATCATTCTTGCAATTATGCTTCAATATTTGTTCTTCCGAGCCGAAGGTCTATCAAAAACAACCTCTCTACCTCACAAACGTCTCCTACTCTCGACAAACCCCACTTACGGAATTAGACTAAGTATGTTGTTATCGCAATTACAAACTCATGTATAAAAATTCCTTAAACATCATATAAAGTTTTCATCTTTTTCAGCTACCCAATTCCTTAAACATCATACACAAACTAATCACCAAAAAGTTAACATTGCTAGCAAAAGCAATTGTAATTACACACACAAAAAAAAAAAAAAAACTTTAGCTACACATACAGATCAAAGACAAAAAAACTCATAACCAACAAAATCTCAAATTCTAACAGAGAAAGAGGAAAAAAGAACCTGAGATTGTTGATCAACAGATTTAGAAGGAGAAGCTGAAAACAATCGAGAAAGCTTCTCAGAAACTGTATCCTTTACACCATACATATCTATCTACCTGTTTATCTTCGTTTTAACCAATTACCCAATTCAAAATCTTTGAAATTCAGATAAAAAACTGAGATTTCAATGGTTAATTTGAGAAACCCAAATCCAAAAATTTGTTGAAAAAGGCAATGTAAAAGCAAAAGGGGGTATTTTTCTTGAGTTACATTCAGATTTTTGTGATCTGAGAAGCTGAGAAAAAAAAAACAGAGGTGAAGATACAGAGCACCGACGAATTATATTAACAGTTGAAAAACATATAAGAAAAATAAAGATAGCTATTTATTAGTAGAATTTATTAGAAAAGGATATTCTGATTTTTGACTTTGTATCAATTCTTTTCTTTTCTTATGATGACTAGTTGGTTTCGTTTATTTGTTTATCGGGTTTTGACTTGACATAGAAAGAAATTGATTGTTTTTGTTTGTTTATTTGATTTGACGTAAAATTCAAGGAAATAAAGAATAATTCTGAGTCTTATGGTCTTAACTCTTAAGGATATGTGAAGAGGTAGATACATTAGTATTAACAAAAAAAATAATACGACAAACAAATTGAAACAAAGATAGCGATGACAGTGTGGTGGGGCAGATGCGGATTGGGGGAGGATTTAAGGTTGTGCGGAGTTTGAGGGATGCGGGGTGGGTTGAAGTGGGTTTTTTAAGTAATGCAAGGTGGACGAGTTGCGGGTATATATGATTTTATGCGGGTTCAAACTTGATTTTAATTTTTTACATGTTATGATAGATCGTTATTTATTAAGATTTTTTTTAAAGCTACTAAAATATGCGAGATAGTAAATAAAAATTGTTCAATAAAAAATAAAAATTTCTTACATGTTTCCCAATTGACCTCTAAAAAATAATTTTTTAAGTCATTATCTATTTAATTAAACCAACTTAATGAAAAAAATGAATTTACTTTTAGTATTAAACTTAATTAGAAAAAAAATATTAAAAAAATTATGTCGGGTGGAGTGAGATGGGTTGAAAATGAAAAGTTGTTAAGCGAAACAGAGCAAATTAAAAAAATTGCGGGTTAAACTCAACCTTCCCCCTCCCTGCACCGCCCCATTACCATCCTTAAACGAAGGGAGCAATTTTCTTTAACGTGATGACTCTTTATATATTAATCACATAGTGTTTTGATATATGACTTTATTTCTTTGGTATTTTAATAACATAAGTCTTTCATGAAGCTAAGATTTAAAATATGGAAGAAATATGTATTTTTACGACTCTATCACCAAATAAATTTAAATTTTGTTCAACTTAATATTGTTTAACACTTCTATATTCAATACTTTAATTTAATAAGAGACTGGTTAAGTTAACAATAACAACAATGTCAATAAATAGACCATCCAAGACATGAATGACCTTTTAGGTATAATTTTTTATGTGATCCTTGCTATGTTTAGTATTTTGGTGATTATTTCAATTTTGAGGCATGTATAATTTGGATTAATAAATTAATAGTCCCTATATATATATGTGTGTGTATATTATGTTATTTTGATTTTAAAATTTTATTAAATGTGAATATATATTCTTTCACCAAATATTTTAACATACCTTGTCTATTTGTTAGATTTTGAGGAAAATTGTGGAGAAATACATAACAAATATATATATATAAAAAAATTGAAGTGCCACATCATCGAATTTATGTCCCGCTTTCATAATGATTTTAACTCATTCACATAGTTAATTTGATTGTTTTGTTTTATCTTTGAATTTGTGTTTTGAAGTGTCATTGCCACGATAGTGACCATATTAGAGTACATACAAATGACAAAACATCTTCTTCTAAACCTTAATAATTAGTAATCATAGTTTGATAATAATATTCTTGTCTTCTACTTCAATTTTCGAACAAAACATTCTTCAAAAAGACAAAATATAATATTTGAGAATTATATTAAGAAGAACCTAAAGACAGTTGCTTGGAGCGTATGGTATAGAATAAACCCATCATTATTTACCTTAAATAAGAATAAATAACACTATGAAATCCCTCCATTTTTTATAATAGATTTTGGGTTCAAAATTGAAAATGGAGTAATTTCTAATAAGATATTGAATATATCTCTTATGTTATCCATTTCATAGAATCATTCGGTCCGAATTCTAGAACATAAACTAGATGATGAAACATAAAAACTCAAGACGTAAAAGAGCATAAGATGGGTTGGGTTGTAATCATATCATTTAAAAATTTAACATATTAATGAGAACACAACTTTTATGTTTTTAATCATATCTTCAAAATTCTTTTTGATAATGAACAACGGTGAGACTTAATCTACTCAGTTGCAAACAAAAAAGGAACCTAATCAATTTCAATCTCATCTAAAAGTTTAAATAATAAAACCATCATACATTTTATTTTCTTACTTATACTTAATATAAGCTTTACCAGTGTTTCGAATGACGAAAGGCAACAAGGGTTTGCCTTGCCACAAGGCGAAGTGAGTGGCGAGGCGCTCACCTTTTTGAAGTGCGGCTCAATTAATACCAAAAAATAATAATATTTAATTGCATATATAAATAATCAAAATCTCAACAACAATAACATATAAGAAAATATTTTAATCCAAAAGTTGAAAATAGTACATACTTAGAACTTGAATGAGAAAAAAACAGAACAAAGAACAAAAGTCAAAACAGTGAGAAAAAAACAGAGGTGGAAGCGGCTCTGAAGAAGAAGGAAAAAGAAACAGAGGAAGAAGAAATCTAAATAAGAAAAGAAGAAATACATATTGATTGGACTTTGGAGTCACTGCAAAAGTCTAGCTAGTCGCCTAAGGAGTCTAGTCGAAAATCCTAAAATTACCTTTTAACATTAAAAATCCTAAATTGATCGCCTTTTTTTTTAATAAAGAAAATACAAAAGGCGGCGCCTTTGTCGCCTCTCGCCGCCATGGGACGATCGCCTCGCCACAATGTTAAAATGCGATGAAGGGTTGCCTCGCCTCGCCTCTCGCCATTGACAATGAGGCGATTGCCTTTCACAACACTGAGCTTTACCAACACGAATTTAAAATAGTCAAATTACTAAATTCTATATACCATATACTCCCTCCGTTTCAAAAAGATTGATCTGGTTTGACTTGGCACAAAGTTTAAGAAATTAAAGAAGACTTTTGAATCTTGTGGTCTTAAATTAAAGTTATGTCAAATGTATAAAATTGTCCTTAATCTTGTGGTGTTATACATGTCACACGTGGAAAGCAAAAAGTAAAATGTTATCAAAAATGGAAAGAGGTCATTTTTTTGAAACTGACTAAAAAGGAAAATAGGTCATTCTTTGTGAAACGGAGGGAGTAACTATTTCAGAAAAAAGAAATAAAACCAAAAATCTTTATGAGGATACCATCTCTAGTTATATCATTTATTACTATTATAAGCTAATCTTTCAAATCTTAACAACTTCAAGTAAATATATATATTTGCAGTTATCACATGATAAAGATTGGTTGCCATAACTATATCAAGCCAATTAATAGATTCACTATATTTATTCAAACTCCATTAAATAATGTTCAACTAAAGACAATCAATACAAAACAAATATACCATGAAACTTATTAAATATTTCAAAATTCAAAATCTTGAAATTTTACGGTATGTTTTTTCTAAAAAAATATTGTACTTTAGTCAAACTTACACAGTTAATCCATGTTTACTCCCACTCTCTTCACCTCTCTGTTACCTAGGGAATATTTTTTACCACTTTATGAGTTGTTTTTTTATAACCATTTTTTTTGTTCTCATTCTCTAAATACACCCCACCCCCTTGGCCTTTGTTAGTAAAAAATAGAGTTGGAGGTTAAAAAATACAGTATCAAATTGTCCTTTGTATACATATATATTATATATAAACTGATAAAGATAGAGATACCCTATTTTTCTCAGTTCTGCACATCCAAAGATAGACAAATAGTGGGCCATTTATAATAATAAAGTGAATCCAAAAACACCACTACAAAAACCAACACCCCTTTTTTCAGAAAAAAAGTAACAAATTTCAAGAAGAAATAGTACTAGTACTAGTACTAGTAGTAGCATCTCAACCCTTCAAAATCCCTTACTGAAATCTTAAGCAAAAAAAAAAACAAAAACTTCAAGGTGCAATCTTTTTCCTCTCAAAATCTACAAAACAGCAAAAAACAACCATGGTATAATATTTCAAGAATCTCCAAAAAATGGTAATGGGGTTGTCCAAGAAACCATTTTTATTCATTTTCTTGGCCATTCTAGCTATTTTCAAGGATCTCCCAAAAATGGGGTTGTCCAAGAAACCATTTTTTTGCATTTTCTCTGTTTATTTAGTCATTCTAGCCATTTTCCAGAATGTAGCACCAGCTGAATCTGCATCTGGAAACACTAATTTAGTGTACAAAGGTTGTGCAAAACAGGCATTATCAGATCCATCTGGTGTTTACTCACAAGCCCTTTCAACCCTTTTTGGCACTCTTGTTTCACAATCTTCAAAATCCAAGTTTTACAAAACTACAACTGGTACTGGCCAAACTACAATAACTGGTCTTTTTCAGTGTAGAGGTGACCTCTCTAATATTGATTGTTATAACTGTGTAAATGGTTTGCCAATACTGATTGACAAGCTCTGTGGCACCCCTGTTGCTGCAAGAATCCAGCTTTTAGGCTGTTACATGCTCTATGAAGTCTCTGGTTTCCCACAAATCTCAGGAATGGAGATGTTGTACAAGACTTGTAGTGGGAAAAATGCACCAGGGAGTGGATTTGAGGAGAAGAGGGATACTGCTTTTTCCACATTGGAAAATGGCATGGCTAGTGCTAATAATGGATTTTACACTTCAAATTATGAGTCTGTTTTTGTTTTGGGACAATGTGAAGGGGATGTAGGCTCTTCTGATTGTGGTGAGTGTGTGAAAAGTGCTGTCCAAAGAGCTCAGGTTGAATGTGGTAGCTCAATTTCTGGCCAAATTTTTCTTCATAAGTGCTTTGTCAGTTATAATTATTATCCAAATGGGGCTCCCACAAAATCATCATCATCATCATCATCATCTTCTTCATACTGGTCTCCATCTCCTTCAGCAGGTACTTTTCCTTGAATTGATTGCTTAGCTAGCGTTTAGTCATAGATTTCGAAAATTTATCTTTAAATATCTGTTTGACCGTATATTTTGGATCAGATTTTGAAAATCCGTCTTCATAAGATTTTCAAAAGTCCCAAAAACTGGTCCAAACCATATATGTTGCTTAGCTAGTGTATAGTCCAAGTAAAATGCATGTTCAAACACGACTTAAGTTTCAAAAACTCAACTTTTCACGTTTTAACTTCAAAATTCATGATCAAACGAGAGATAAACATGTTAGACTGTGACAATGGTTTCTGGTTTAATTTGCAAGTGTTAACACTCTAATCAAGATTTTGTCTTTCTTAGAATTTTTGAGCTGTCTACCTCATTAAATCAGTTGTATACTTCAATAAAAAATGGATCTTGGAATAAACAAACAAGGAGCATGATAAATTGTGTTTTTTTTAATAATATGTCACTGTTAACAAGATGTTTGTCTAACTTAGATTTGTGTGCTCTCATTTCATATTTTTGTTATAAAAAAGTTGTATAGTAATGAGAGTTGTGTATGTTCAATTAATGTGTAGGGACAGGCCAAAACACAGGGAAGACAGTGGCTATAATACTAGGAGGAGCAGCAGGAGTTGGTTTTCTAGTCATTTGCATGCTCTTTGCAAGGAACCAAATGAAGAAACATGATGGTAAGTGTATAGTAAAATTTGGGAAAATAATATTTTCGATCTCTCGTTTATTGGTAAATTATGATTTTGATCCTCGTGATATATGGCTCGACTTGTCTGTCTAACCTTCACGTAGGACTAAAATTAGAATTTATCAATAACTGAGGGACTAAAAATGTTATGAACTCTAGATTTTTTCTATGGTTTAAAATATTGCCACTTGCTTATGTTATGATTTAAATATTTGTTGCAGATTATTGAAGGGATCAGCTGTGTATTATTATTATTATTATAAAAGGCTGGCAAAAGCTTTTTGTAAGGTGGATTCTTTCCTTGTTAAGATTTTCTTCCTAGAAGAAAAAAGAAGAAGGAAAATTTATTTTCTTGGAAATTCCTGAAAAAAGTGAGGGAGTTTGTGAGCTGTAATTCTTGGAATTATTAGGTAAAAAGAGAAAAACAAAAATACTATTTTGGGGACATAAATTTTTGGAGAAATGATGTAACAATACATGTTTTTTGTCAACTAAGAAAATTGGAAAGAGCATTATAATGTTTCTTGGCATTTTTCTCCTATGGCCATGTGCATGTTGTCTCTTTTCTCTTTGTCTCTGAATAATTGTTTCTCCCTTTTTTTCTTCTTCTAAAGTTTTTTACTTTTTAGAAAGTTCTCTCAGTGAGTGCATTTCCACTTGTATAATATATACAATAACATACTCAGTGTGATCTTATAAAAGAGGTCAGGGTAGGGTAGATGCATGCATGCCTTAACCTATCTCATAAAAAGGTTATTCTCGATAGATGCTCTCACTTGTATAATATATGAATTGAAAAATAATTTATGTTACTTGGTTCAATATCCAAGAACAACATTGTCATTTGGTGGGCTTCCCTACAAGTTTATGAATGTATATACAATATGCCATCGCCCCCGAGGCCTAGCTCAAGTGACAAAAGGTGGAGGATTTGTGGCTTAGGTCGCAGGTTCAAGTCCTCACCATGCAAAACGAAGCCCAGTATTTAAGTGGAGAAGGGTAGAGGGGTGGACCCATTATCCACCGAGTTTAGAAGGCTGTGATTGGTCCAAAGGGAAGGTCATTGACGGATTTCTCGGTTATCAAAAAAAAAAAAATATGTCATGCATATACATTTTGATTATGATACCAACATGAGTTGTGCGCAGTGTAGTGGTGGAACTGCTTCACCCTTAATCAAATATCTCGAGTTCGAGCCTTGAGTAAGAAGAAAATCAATGTGGAATGCCACTCGTGTAACTTATATTTTCCTATTTCTACGAGGAAAGTCATTTTATTCATTTTTAAAGAACTTATTTTCCAAAGTTTTGATCAATCAAAGCATATTCTGGAAAATATTTTCCTCCGTATCGAACACACTCTTGATGTCACTCCCTTTCAATATAAGAATCTTCTTTTTCCCTAAACTGAGCTATCCTTTTCTTGTTTATGACTCATTCATGTACCTCCCACTCACATTATGTGTATATAATAATAGTACTATGTATATTTCTAAATTAATACTCACGTTAAGCACCATACAATAGTTCTGAAAGTCTCCTAGTGATCTAGGGAATTTAACTAAAAGACTTGTGCTCAGCCACAAGCCAGAAAATTTTACTTGCTATCGCCTGCCAGCATATTCATCGCGTTAGAAGATAGAGAGTCGGGTCTGAGTGGAGTGATAATGCTAGAGATTAAGTGGTCGTTGCAAATATAATCCGTTATTTAAACATAATGTTAAAGAAAACCATTTGATATACCAATAACCATGGAAATGGATGCCTCAGAGAAGTTCTTCTGAATTATCAACTTTTTAATTGACCCGAATCTCCCAAGAACATAGTTGAAATGACAACTTCTTTCGTTTAAACTCTCCAGAAGATCGGTTCAGCAACCCAACTCATCTATCTATCCAAACATTGATTCAACAACACAACATAATAAGGTATAAAACAATACATTATGTGAAACAATGAGAAACAACACTCCAAACAGGCGTAAAAGGATAATTACCTCAACTTGCACCAGGTCGTCATTCTTGTATGTAAACTCTTGGGATGTGAGCAATCTTAGGCCAGTCCTCTCCTACTTCCTCCTGGCACCTTTGCTTCAGGATTGATGAACCTCTAATAACAATTAGCATTTGCAATGCTGCGAGAGATCGCATGCCTTCTGGCAAGGATGTCAACATTGGGGAACCATGAATCCTCAACTGATTAAGGGAAATGAGGCCGCCAATCCATTCTGGAATTGTTGCAAAGTTAGGACATATCCTAATGTTTATTGATTTCAAAGTACCTGAGAAATGTTGGAGCCAAACTGGAAGTGTCGTTAGCTTGTCAAGCCTGAGAACTATGAAAGTTGACAAGTTCCCCGGGGCTTGAAATTGCATTGCCTCATCGCTGGACAAGTCGAGCTGAGGGCAATTGTCTATCCACAAATGCTCAAGGGAACTGAGATGAGTTAGACATGTGGATAGAGAGACCAGGTTTCTGCAACTTTGAATGGACAAGGATTGGAGCGACACCAGACTCTTTAACACATCCTCTGGCATAGTTACTAGGCTAACAACAGAACGTAGAGTCAAATTATTCAAATCACAAAGAGGAGAATGGTGATGCGGTGGGCAAAGAATTTGCTTCATTATCTTCTTATTTATTGCCTGCAATTCAAGTCGTTTTAGGGAAGAGAAGTAGCATTCATCTGATGGTAGCATGAATTTATCATCACCTTCAAGTCCATCGATGTTCGCTACAACGTTGAGATTCCGTAGTACAAGACTTTGGAGAGAAGGCAATTTCCATAGCGGTGGAAGCTTTTGGCATTTACGGGAATATTCTATACGTAGATAAACAAGCTTGGGTAGCAAAAATCCAAGATTCTCAACCATCAACCAACTTGGAAACCTTGACCCGCTATAATTTACTATTCGCAAGCTTTCAATGTTATGGTGCGGCTGCAGGGCCTCCAACATTATCAGATCATAATCCTCATAGTTCCCAAATTCGAACTCTACATTCAGCTGTCGAAGATGTTTCATTTTTTTCACTACATCTGTCAGTGTTATTTCTCCAATTGCATGGACTCGTCCCTTGAAGTTAATGGTTAATCTATTTCTGAGATCGAGGCCTTTTAGTTCATTCAACCTGTCACTTGCCAGACCAGATTTGCAACTTTCTTTGCCTATGATAAAATCTGTCAATGTCCGTAGAGACGTCAATTGGCCAATTCCAGGCATATCTTCCAGGGATAAGCAATAATTAAAATCCAAATGCATGAGACTTGCCAACTGCCAAAGTCCTGGCGGAATATGGGTTAATGAGCGGCAGAATCTACATACCAAACGTCGAAGGCTCACCAATCTCCAAATATCTCTTGGCAACTTTGTGAGTTTATTGCAATTGACCAACTTTAAAATTTGTAAGTTATGCAATTTTGTGATGGAATTTGGTAAAGTAACAATGCTCTCAGAAGAAATAGCAAGGTATCTTAGATGCTTCAGTCCACCTAAAGATTGAGGCAAAAGTTCTATCTGCAGCTGACATAAATGTAGAATGCGCAAACGTTCAAAACTTGAAATCATTCTCTCCAAGGTTGAATTGCTCATGACACTGTATGGGGAACCATTTAAGTAAATAAATGTCCGCAACTTGATATGCTTCCTATAGAAGTCACTGGGAAATACCAATGAACCATCAATCTGGAATAAACAAGACGCATGGAGAGTTTGTTCTGGTACAACCTCTGTATCTTCAGTTTTAGTGATACTGAAGAATTCCCTATCTGCAACTTCTTTCGCGAGATCATGAATAAGATCGTGCATTTTATAAAAATGCAGGAATTCATGTTTTTCAGTTCCTTGAAAGAGCAGAAACAATTCATGTTCTTCAGTCTCTTGAAAGAATGACCTTCTTAACAAATCCATGAAATATGAATTTGCAACATCCTCCACATTATCTCTGTTGCTAATAGTTGATTGAATAAAGCCTTGAGCAATCCACATATCAATCAAATCAAAACTCTGAATATTGAAATCCTTTGGAAAGAGGGAACAATATGCGAAGCATATCTTTAAATGCTGAGGAAGGTGATTATAGCTCAATCTCAAAATGGCCATTACATCGTTGCTCCCTCTTGTGATACTTGACAAATCTTGATTCTTGAAATATATCCACTCATTCTCCGTTCTTTTGAGGCGTAGTAGGCTTCCTACTGATTTTATTGCAAGAGGAACTCCTCCACACTTTCTCACAATTTCCTTTCCTATTTCCACCAAATTCGAATTTTCGCTCTCTTTGTTACATTCAAATGCCATTTTCTCAAACAATGTCCATGCCTCTTCCTCTGAAAGGTCCCCTAATTTATGTTGGTGAACACTTCCTGAAACTTCCGCCACCACATCTGAACGAGTAGTCACTAAAATCTTACTTCCCTTGGCTCCACCAATCAACATATTCTTCAGTTTCGACCATTTCAAGGTATTTTCGTTCCACACATCATCGAGCACTAGCAAATACTTCTTCCCATCAAGCATTTCCGTAAGCTCATTTTGCACTGTATTTAGTTGAAGGTAATTAGCCTTCTCCCCTCCTGCAGATTCGATGATTTTTTCTGCAATCATTTTCACTTCAAAAACATCCGAAACACAAACCCACAATCTTTTATCAAAATTCACCTTAACCATTTCATCATTATACACCCATTGTGCCAGAGTGGTCTTTCCTAGTCCCCCAAGACCAACAATTGATATAACCACAACATTCTCTTCAACCTCAGAATCCAAAAGAAAATCCACAATTTCCTTTTTATCAGCATTCCTTCCAATCACTTCTCCATCAGGCACAAACGAATAAGTCTCTCTATCCAAATTCAATTGGACTGAATTAGGCTCCAGAAGCAAAGGTTGCCTCATTTCAACTAGATCTAAGGAGGCCTTATCTTTTGCAATTAGATCTAGGTTTTGTCGAATGGCCTTGAGTCGATGACTTATCTTGAGATTATAAAGCACAGGGTTTGATTTTGAGAAGAAGATGCCTGCCTTATTCACCAATTTTCGACGTGTAACCTCAGTGGCGAAGTCATCCAAGAGATCATCAGCCTCAAAGAACACTTTTTTAAGCCTCATTATCCAGTCCTGTTAGGATCGAAATAATCAGGTGTCATGCCGAAGCTAACAAAGCAAACATCAAACGATAAATAGAGATATATCAAAAGAAAGATAATAATTTAGCATGGTCCTATCAATTGATATATCTCCACAGGCGAAAATGAGCAATCCATAAAAAAGGCATAATATATAAATATTCCCGCTATTAAAAGAAAAAGCTTACATCTACTTTCCCTATTATATAACCGGTCCCATCTCTCTCCAAACCTAACGTGGTAGTTTCCCATCATAGGGCTTTCTATCTATAGATTAAGCCATTACCAAGGAGCTAATTCGTTTAAAACTTAGTTGACTGCTTCTATAGAAAAGCCAGAGCGTCCTAGGCTCAACATTATAGCACATAGGGCTTCGGCGCTATTATAACACCTCGCTAAAACTTGACTCATATGGTATCTATGTCCTTCAACTTTTAGTGTGCATAAGTAGATACTTAAACTTATATAAAGTTGAAGAAGTAGACACACATCCTACTAGCATAACACACGTACAATGCCATGTAGGATGTGATTTCTCATGTAAGACGCCGAGTAGAACGTGTGTGTCTCTACTTGTTTAACTCTATACTAGTATAATGCACACCCAAAAATTGGAGGACATATAAGCCAGATAAAACTAAGTTAAATGACATGTTTACGTATTGGGAGAGTAAGAGGTTCACACAAATGATAGAGTAGCCACTTGTTTTCACTTAGACAATTTGTCGAACACTTGATGAGCGTATGCTCCAAGATTCTTTAACAATAACATTTCTCCACACCCATTCTTCCTCCTAGATCATACATCACACAAACCTCTTAATACACAAACCTAAAACATCCCCATATCCCTCAACTCATACTAATTGCTTAAGTTGGACTCAGCATGACACCTGATTATTTCGATCCTGATAATCATAACAAAATTAAGGCAAACATGTAATATATTCCCTCACCTGATGGCTACTCCCCTGCTGCTTCTCTGCATCAGTAAGTACGGCTTGGATAGAAGAAACTGTAGTAGATAGCTTGTGAAGCTCATTGGCTACTCCGTAAATGGATCCTACTTGTTGAGCAGCAAGAGAACCCAAACTTTTCAAGATTTCAGCAGCGAGCTTGTATAGAATTGTTTCAGCCATTATGTATGCTAGTGGTAACGGAATTAGTCGAGTTGCGTGAAAACTGCAAAGTATATGATTTTGAAAATGAACTATCTTTTGCAAAAATTTTTGAATTAAAAGTTGGTTATACTTAACAAAATTCATCAAGAGTTGACCAAGACTTATTCCTCATTACAAATGACACATTATGGAAAAAATAGTCAAATATTTAGATTATTAAAATTGGAAATTTTTCTTTTACTATAATTAATGCAAAAAATACTTATACAATATGATTTTATACTCCCTTCCCTTTCGATATTTATTTTGAAGCTTTGACTCAGTCTGTTATTTTTTTTATTTTGAAGCTTTGGCTTAGTCTATAGTTTTTTTTAAAAGAAAAATCTAGTTTTCATATTGAAGTTCGATTATTTTGAATGAAGCGCTCGTACTAAGAGACCTATCCTTTATTGTTGGTTTCTGTCTGTTATCATTAATCACTATAAGCTCTAATTCTCAATTATTATTTGGATCCAACAAATACAATACATATTAGTATTATGCTGAAAAATTCATTTTGTTACAAAATGATTAGATGTAAAAGAGAAATTAGATCTATATACAAACCAAAATTAAAACTGTACATTATTCCTCATAAACATCAAGATGAGGATTCATAATCTGCCCAAAAATATAAACAAAACAAAACAAAAAAAAAGTTTAACAAGCATTATCCATTGTTTCTTCAAGGGCTAACACAATGAACAATCATGGAAATTGAAGCGTCAGAGTAGTAATAATTCTGCAAAATTGGCAACTTTTTAATCTCATACTTTTCACCAATTAATTCACTTTTTGGATTTAACTCTTTTGGTGAAATTGATTCCCTCTTCAACAACTTTGAAAATTCAGTTGCCCAAATATTTATCAAACCAGACATTTTTCTGCAATTTTCTTTTTTTTTTTGATGGTTTGAAGTATTATCACAAAGTGACTGTTTATATAGAGGTGAAGTTTTTTTTGCAGCACACAAAATTTAAGTTTGTGTTGTGTGCGGCTTCCTGTTTTCTATTTTGACTCACATATATATTTAGAATTTTAATTTTATATTTTAAAATGGAAAAATGATAAATGTACCTTCGAACGATCGTAAATGGTATACAGATAATCTCTGTCATATTTTTGAAATATTGGGTGCCTGACATTCAAAAACTAGAGCATATATATTCTTCCATCTAACTGAAGACTAAATAGAGACACATGACACAATTTTATCCATCGATCTGATATTTAATAAATGTCAGGTCAGTGGATAAGATTATGACACGTGTATATCCGTTAGTATAAAGGGTATATATGCTCTAGTTTTTAGACGGCAGAGATACCAATGTCTCAAAAATATGACGGAGGATATGTACATACCATTTACAATAGTTTAGGGGTATATTTGTCATTTTTCCTTTTTAAAATTTAGAATGATTTTAATCATTAATGATTAAGTTATAATTTCGATATTTATATATATTTGATAAAAAAATTAATATGAATATATTATTGGAGTAAAAGCTATTAGATAATATAATTCGTATCCGAGCTTCTAGCACCGTCCCAAATATATTATACTGAAAATACTTTACTATGTGTTCTAAAACTGTCACTCCAAGAGTAGTATGCGTGTGAATTTTGGCACACGTGGCATGCATTATTGGTTATTAAAATAATATTAATATTAATTCTTGTTGTTGGCGGTTCAAAACTGTGTGCGGCCATTTTAGTGTGTATCGGTTGGTTCGGTTTGATTTTAAGTATTATTGATTTAGTTTATCAGTTTTTTATTTTTAATTATGTTAAATTGATAATCAAATTAATAAGATATTTATTATTGGATTTTGATTTATCGATTTTTGGTCTTTAACGATTTTAACTAATAAGAAAATGCTTTCAAAATAAATATATGACTTGTCTAATAATTTGACGCGATACAGACCTACATCGAAACAAGCAAAATAGATTAAATTGCAACAATAAAGACTAAAGTAATACTAAAAACTAAAGGATAAATGCAGAGGCTAGAATTAAGTAGGGTTAATTATGTACGGTTCTTATAATTATAGTCTAATATAATAATTATATTAATATTTTTTATTTAATATTTATGTATGACTAAAACTAAAAATAGTAAATTATTATATTCTTAATGGGTTGTCGGTTAACCCAATAACCCAATATAAAAAAACTAATATCGAATTGATAACCCAATAATTTTTTTATAAAATCATTAAATAATCGTTAACTCAATAACCCAATAACAATAAACTAATAACACTTTTTTTATTCAATCTATCGATCAGTTCGATTTTCGCACACCAAAAGATCACAGTATGTATGGCAAAAAAGTTTAGTTGTTTTTATTGAGAAAATAAAATTTGAATAAAAATATTTGTATTTAAAATGCCAAAGAAATTTAAAGTTATACAAGTTCAAGTACTCGGTAGGGAGTATTTTTTCTTCGAATAAAATCTGATATATTATCAATTTAAATTAATCAAATTTTAATAGAAATATCGAATATTAGATAAAAAATCAAAGAAATATTAATAATTTGGGATATTGTCCTACAAGATAAATGCTTTGGAGTTCGATTTTTATAATAAATATTTTTTATTACAAACTTTCAAATAAATATAATTATTTTTAAATAAAAATCACTACTCAACGGTCAAAATTTAAGATTGCATAACATAACATCAAAATGTTTTAAACAAATTGAATATGTAGATTGTACTACATATTTTGTAGTCTAATAATATTTATTATCAAATTGATCTATATTAATTAATTTGGTATAATATAATTTTATCATCAAATTATATTGCAACTTATCTTAAATTCAACCAAAATCTTTTGGTTATAAATAGAAAACATTACTTTCACATCTATCATCCATATATTCAAAAGTCTAAAAAAAACTATATATTTGTATAGGCTAGTTTTATTATCTCTATTTGTATATTTTTATTTGAATAAGTCGAATTTATTGTAACGATTTAATAATTTTTTACCAGATGATAAGCAAATGGATAGCTGCTTGAAGGATTGTTCAGCAAAAATTTGCAATTAGTTTAAAAGTAAACTAGAAAAGATTCTTGATGAATCAAATGTAATCAAGATTTATGTTTTTAATGAAGTACAAAATTACTTTTGAATTTTCCATCTTTTTTATTTTTTTAAAAGATTTTTTTTTGTTATTTTTTTTTAAAATTAGCGTTAAGGGTTATTTGATTCAAGAGCTTACTTTAGTCTAAGAAATTTTATGTGCATACAAAATTTATTCCAAAGTAATGAATGTAATTAAATGCTTAGGGGTTGATTGGTTCAAGAGCTTAGGTGGTTTATCTCAATTAAATTAAATTTATTCTATATTTGATTGGATGTATTAGTAAAATTGATAGTAATATTAGGATTATAATCTAAATAACTTATCTCACGTAAAGATGACATAAAATATCTAAGTTATAAAATCGTGATTTTAATTCTAAAATTATAATTGTTATTATCTCGATTTCAAATCAAACGATTTCTTAGAATATGATGTAGATCGACCTTTAAAATATGGGATCCCCTGAAATGCTTCCCATCAAATTGTATGTGCCACCAAAGTAACAATATCAACATCAATAGTTACGACGATAATTAAAATCCGTGAGAAACTCAAAGAGAATATCAGACACCTAACAAAAATAATAATTAAAATAGAGTTAAAAATTTGGATGGTCTTTTAAGCATGTGTGGGATGGGGTGTTTTCCAAAAAGGTATTTGACATTCATATTGAAATTTGACTAAATTTAAATTTGCGCATTACAAACTCTATTTTAAGGTAAAGTGTATAATATCTTTTTTTTAGGAGTCAGTAATATTTTAAGGTACATATTGAAAGTTAAGTGCAAACATAACTTTGATTAGAAAAAGCAAAAGAAAAAACTTTTAATGATCATAAATGCCATGTCCTTAATCTTTTACTAAACACACATGCGATACTTGACAACTCGTTCTTACACAACTTGTTCACCGTCTTACTGTGTCAAGTCAGCATAAAACTTTAGAAATTGCTAAGAGAATGGTACAAAGAACACAAGAGGACTGCTAATAAGAATTGTGTTGTGGAGAACTTTGATTGAATTTTATTTGATGAATGTCCCTCTATTTATACTCTTAACTCAGGATCTAATAATTAAATAATAATGATTACATAAATTCGTACATATTTACAAATAAGCCGATTTTTTAGAATACTCTATACAATTAGAATATTCGAAGGACTTTTCATGTAAATCTATGGTATTCTAAAAAGCTACAAGGAAATACTTCACATAGCTCTAGAATACTCCATTAAATACTAACTTTCTTCCTATGTAAGACCCACACGGATAACTTTGTGTCATATAACACTTACTTACGTAGCACTTATGGTTGTCACCTAAAACTCCAAAAAGTAAATATCACAAAATCCAGTCAAATCTTGCTAGCATTTGCATTAGTGGTCAATTTTGTTATCATTTTGTATTGATGATAAATAGTTTAAAATAGTCATTTGTATTAATGATATATAGTTTAAAATCATTACTACTAAGAAATCCAATTTCTCAAGTTTTTTTTCATTAAGATATCAGAATATCCTAAGGTATTAATCACATGTTTTTTTAATTCTTTTATAAATAAATATTTATGATTTCAATATCTCAAATAAGCATAATTTTATAAAAAATCACTATTAGAGAGTGCATATATAATATAACATTCAAAACGTTTTAAACAAATTAAGTATGTAGATTGTACTACATTTACTTTTGTAGTCTAACATTTATTATCAAATTCAACTCTATTTAATTATTTGGGTATAATATAATTTTACCATTAAATTATATTGCAACTTGTCTTAAATTCAACTAAAATCTTTGGTTATAAATAGTATGCATTACTTTCACATCTATCATTCATCCATATTCAAAAGTCTAAAAAAAATACATATATCATAAGAAAAAAAAATATGAATTTCACAAAAATTTTAACATTGAAACTTCTTTTTATTATGTTTTTTGTTGCAAATAGTAATGTTATTGGTAATAAGTCAATAGTTTCTTGTATGGTTTTTTGTCAACGTGCATGTATGGACAGTCGTCCTTGCCTAGCACAATGCTTGGTGGATTGTAATAAGTGGATGGTT